AATGAAGTATATTTAGTTGAAACATGAACATATTTATACATTTAATAAACATTTCTTTATGATATTGAAGCATAAAATTAAGAAGTAAACATGAATTCGTTGTAACCGGTCAATTTATTTGAACTTCAGTTGAACTACAAACGTTATAATTGTTGCTCTTGTTTCTTTCTTTATTTGTTACCCTTTATTAAATTCCAAAATTTGACGTAAACACTAGTTTTGTCTAAAAGTCAATGACACCAATTATTGGATAACAATGTATTTACAAACCCGTATGATACTTTAAAAGGTTATAATATTCTTATCATATTTTTATAATGGTTTTACTGCTTACATGAATACTTCAAAGCTAACAATGCTTCAAGTCATTTATTAATCTTGTTATTTACATTTTGTTGTGAAGAAACGCATGAAATCACTAGGTGTTAAAAAAATGAATGGAACCATAAATCAAGATTCTTCCACGATAAACGAAAAGAAACAAACGATTAGAAATATAATATGACATGCTATTCTCTAATTATGAATATTTGCGGTCTTAATTAGACATTTATTGATATTCTTTGGCATTTGAAAGCACCTTTCATCTTTTTTAAGCGGTATAGATACTGATTAATAGGGACAATTTCGTCTTTGAAACTTACATTAGCTTTTGTACTAATATCCGAAATCACAGGATGATTATACCAATATCATACAACAATGCGGTTACGTAGATTTCTCGTATGATACTCAGCTTTGAGATGAAAGTTCTGAAACATGTTAGATTTTTGTTCCAGTTTAAATCTGTTAAGTACGTAAAATGTCGTCTCAACAACACAAATAGCACGGAATAGGAAGAACGGATTGAAACAACCGTGGCCAGGTGAAAACGAATAAAAGAACCATAAAACATCTTCTAAAGTCGTTGCATGGCGTAACGTTTTGTTTCCCGTTTTCTATCGTGTCTTGACCGATATGCAATTATTACAGATAATGAGAAACATTAAAAGTCTTTAAGCCCTCATTGCTTGTTATTCATTTGAGATTATTTCTTTTAAACGACATTCATTGTTATAAACACAATTATTTTAACATCTATACGTACTATTTGTTTTAAAAGTTTATACATTGAATTATTTTTTTCACAGTAAAAAGTTGTTTCATTATAATGTAGCGTTTCAATTTGCAATCAATGGAAACTGTTTTATATTAGAATAATGATATCTTTTCATCCAACATTGTAATAATGTATCATTTTCATTTGTATTATTTTTAATCAATTTTAGCATATACAAAAAATGTAGTACTAAAATAATTCATTTTAGATACAGATATCAATAATGCAACATTGAATCGTTCTATAAGACCAACAAACCAGTTGATCATCCAATTCAATTTACTCTGAAATGCTCAATTTTGTTTTAATGTCTTTTTCAAGTTTTAACGTTTTGATTATATAAATTAATACAGTAATATCTCCTTTTTCTCCTTTAAAATGATTAATTGAAATTACATGCTGTGAAATTCTTCTTCTTGAATATACAGATTTATGCTCACATTAATGGTAAACATATTGTCATACAAGATAACATGCAATGCCTTTCTGTTAAATAAATCGAATGCTCACATGTTTTTATTATAAGATGTTCCAAGTCTTCATTAAAAACAGGCAATGTGCAACATGTACTTCTGTATGATTTAAGGAATCGGATTATTGTCTTTAATGCGGATAAATTGGAAGCTCTGGAAATAGTTTTCGCATAGTGGCAAGCTAAGAGAGATAATTATTTGAAGGTGTTACTCAACTGTAAGGAATTGTTGATTTATACAATGTTTTCAGATTTTTGTTTAGTTTAACATTAGCAATATTGCTTTGGTTGTGTGTAAGAGAAAGAAAAAAGACAAAAACCCAAACAAACAAACAAAAAGAAAAAAACAAATACGTGTTATCGCTAAGACACTCAATATTTACCAACTGGTACCCAAACGTATGGTACCCAAACGTATTTTTTACATGCTCGCGTGGTATACATTTATCAAAAAGCATCACTTAATCTAGATAATCATTAAGGCTACACACTCTGGAGAAGTTTAGTCTAAGTTTAAATGTTAGTCAAAGAGTGCAAATTATTCCGTTCTAAACTCGAAACCACTTAATTTTTCTAACAAAGAACATTATTTAGCTATAGCATTATAGCTATAATTCTAAGCAATGTGTTTGAGTAGTATTAATAAAAATATGTCACTATTTCACTATATGTGCCCGATCGGATGTTGTATGTTTGTCGTTTTGAAAGTGCAGCGTCATTTGCAAATACAGGAAAGAGTCATCAAGCAAGAGTTGCAATTTTCCAACTACAGTATAAGGTCAAATTGCTAAAGCTAAACTACTATTTGTCTAACATAAAATTCAATTTGCTGAAAAGACGAGATGTGCTTGCCAACAGATAAAGGAATGAAGGATTGTTCAATTGGTACTAATGAGCAAATCTGAAAGATTTAGTCAGTTTCTCTAGTTGATTTTTGATATTGTTGTTTATTGGGATTTCATATTCAATATTATGACCAGTCACCCTTTAAAGTCAAGTATCATTAAAAGACAAACATATTTTTCTTCTGCATTGACCGACATTTTATTGGTGAGAAGTGAATTTGGACAGGAACGTTAATTAGTAATAAAACAGATTTGTCACGGTTTGCAAAATATATAATATGATAATCTTGCTTGAAAACATCTTTCAAAAAACAAAAAAATCACTTATCATTAATTAATAGACAGCAAATTTGTATGTAAATTTCTAAGATAATTGATTCTGCATCACAACAATTACCGTGGGATAAACTCGTTCAATGTGCCCTATGTGCAAATCAGCTCATTTATCACGCGAGATTCGGAAGAAAAATTCTTACAAAAGCAATTATATGACTGGCAGCTTTAATATCTTAAAATTACTTGTGATATTATCGTCTATTATATCATATTTTTCTTGTAATGCTCTGGTTTTAACTTTATAATAAGAAAGGATAATAATATAATAAGAAGATTTCCTGTTGTTCATTTTACTTATTATTCAGTTTTTTCTCTTATCACCAAAGACATTTCATAAAAAATGGACATATATTATGTACGACGTTTATTTAAAAGAAAATCGCTTTTCCTATACGACATTTGAATAATACCGTTCAGAAATAGCATTAATATTTTATATTCTCTTTTTTTAACTTTTATTTTGACAAAAAAAAAAAAAAAAAAAAACAAAAAAAAAACAGAAATAAATCACGGCACTTGAATTTAAAATATTGATGAAAGAAATTTTCCAGACCTTTTTTGGTCCTCCCTTATCTAATTGTTTAGCCGCTATTTTCACCAGAAGGTCATAAATCATGTAATAAATTGTATTTCAAATTTGCAAGATATATTGCCCGTAGTCTATTTTTGACTTAAAGCATAATGTCTAGTCAACAAGACGATAGTCTAGTCAACAAGACGATAACTTCGTTGTTTATTGATTTTAACAGTGCAGTTGTAGTACATCTTATAACCTTCAAATACCCTGTCACGATTATCTTTCAGAACATTTTATTTTGTGTGTATAAAGGGCACAGTATTTGCATCTGCAGGTTGCTTAAATTATAATAAAATTTCAAACAGATAGGATAGAAGACGCAATATTTTAAGCCTTGTATGTAATGACATGAAATGTAAAATATCATTCTTCTTAAAATTCTAGATACTGCACATATTCTGAATTTGACTTTGTATTTAATTGGTATTTCTATTATGACAAAAATGACGAAAATAAATGTTATAATTATATTACTATTCTCGTAATAATAGATGAAATTTCAGAACAGCTTTGTCATGGAACTCAATTCCATACAAATTGCTCTTTGTAATTGTGATTTTTTGGATTTAATTTGAAAATACCAAAATTGAAAATTTGTAAATCATTCAAGATATTTATGTTATTAGGTTATAACAAACCATTTGATATTTGTCTATTCTGGTGGTAACAAACAGTTTCAGTGATTGTGGTGGTCAGTGATTGTGTTTATGAAATGTTTGCTTTCGATATACTTAGACTGATTTTCAGATTGGCAGTGATAATTCTGGGAATATAATTTCATGATGACAACAAATGATCGCAAAATTATCTGTTTTATTTCATCCAGAATACATTAATAATAAGCAGTAACGATAATAATGTGCACATATTCAGCTTATCTATAAGCTAAGACTTTTATTGTTACGTTTAACATATTTTCCAACATTAAGTCGAAAAGCACACAATCCAAGAAAAAGTTATGTAAGTATAATATATATTTAGTGCTATAAACGGTTCAACTGATGTTTTCTTGACGATACAAAAAGTGACATCGGTGTTATTAAGGTATGCATATCTCTAAATATTCAAACGTAGCATGTAAATGATTGATACAACTTTTCATGTATAGACAGACACATAAAGCATTAAAAACCATGATATTACTTTAATCAGCACTATTGACTACAAAATGTTACCAATATAACGGAATTCATCATTTTTATCTCAAATTATATATGCTTTTGAGAATCATTCCCAGCTTTATAAATGTCCATATCCATTGCTTAAACTGTTCCAACTTTTCAGTATAGGATTTGATAGGTCATAAATGATTTTATACGTTTAAATAGATCAAAACATTATGAACTTTATTTTGTTGAGGTTTTCATTAACTATTTTTCTTTCTTCTGCAGGTAGCGGTCTATATGTCAGATATCAACTTGAACGACTGAATGCTCTTTTCGTCTAGATTGTAAATATAATAAATATATTTTATTATATACTTATGGATGAAATATTGAGAAATATTGATGAAATAAAATGCGTATTTTCATTTTCCGTATTTTCACTATAAAAATTTATTTTTCACTGCAGTGAAACATATTTTCCGTATTTTCACTGGTGTTTTGCCGGACTACTTTCTTCTTAATTCACAGCAGATTAATATTTTTTTTTAAAAAAGGAAATAAAACATTAATTTATAATAATTTTATAATCAAAAACAATTCAGTACAAAAAAGAGTGTCCCTTTAACAAATTTCTGTTCTATTCAGTTCTATTCCTTACATAAAATCTGTATCAATAGATGCTTATTAGACTAATAGTAGCTATGTCAAAAGCTTGAAAATCAGTTTTTGTCTTCTGCAAAATGTCACAAGAAAGCAACATTGAGTTAGACATTGAAATAGACAATGAAGAAGATGAGTTCTTGGCTAACATTGATTTTCATTTGATTGAGGCAGCTATGATCTTGCAACAGGATGATGAATCAGTTCCAAATAATGTCAATGAGAATGAACCGGTAGTTCATCCTACTGAACAAGATGAAGATGTCAGCAACACAATAAATATTGGTAATCCACGATTTGTTACTTCAAACACAGAAGTTGTTGATAAATTTCTTGAAGATGGCATTAATAAGAACACTAAAGTTAAAACTGACCAAGACATTAAATTATTCCAAGAATTTTTGGTCTCTGTGGCTGAAAGTAGGCCAATACTTCAAATCCCTCCTGAAGAGTTATCTGCCTATGTCAGTAATTTTATCTATGCAGTAAGGAAAAAAGATGGCCAGGAATATGAGCCAAACTCTCTCATATCAAAGTTCCAAAGCATTCAAAGGTTCCTCAATGTGAACCAATATGGCTTCTCACTATCCAAAGATCAGGTTTTCCAGAAATGTAAGCAGGTGTTGAAAGCAAAAACAAAACACTTAAAATCACAAGGAAAGGGCAACAACCCAAATGCTGCTGCTGCCATAACATCCGACGATTTAGAGAAATTCTATGCAGCTGACCAGCTTGGTGGAAACAATCCTAGAGCACTTCAAAATTCTATGTGGTTTATTTGCACCAATTTTTTTGGTATGCGGACTGGCACAGAGGTTCATTCTCTTTGTTGGGGAGATGTAAAGTTGATGTCTGATGATGATGGCTCCGAATATCTAGTGTATAGTCAGGAGCGCCAAACTAAAACTAGGACTGGGGCTGATCCTCGTGATACAAGAAAAATAAAGCCAAGAGCTTATGAAGTTATTGAAAATCCGGCACGTTGTCCAGTGGCTTTGTATAAGCAATTTGCTAAAAGCCGTCCAGAAGCAATGTTGGAGCCAAACTCTCCATTCTTCCTAACTGTAGCTTCTAATGTACCTGAAAATGGAAAACCTTGGTATAAGAAATGTGCCATGGGGATTAACAAAATATACAGCATAATGAAGGATATGAAGCATGCAGCAAACATAGATAAGCCAAATTTAACACCATACAGGCAAGTAATAAATAAAAATTGCATTTAAACATTTTATTAATAGGAAAAAAAGTTTTAATATTTCATATTTTCACAATGTTAAACCTATACAAATTAGAAAAATTATATAAAATTATTCTTTGAATTAAAATTACACAAACTTTCATTTCAATTCTTAATTAAAACAAACTGTGGCATGTATTAAACTACTATTTAACCATAAATCCTGTTTTATATATTTTAAAAATCATGCAAAAATTACTTTTACAACTTTCTTTAACGTAAATCAGAGAAATTTTCTTTGAAATATATTTCAATAAAATAAAAAAACAGAAAAAATTCAATTTAACCGTCCTCACTGTTTTATTAATTTGAAAGTTTGTGCGAACATTATAACAGTAGATTTACTATTAGAATTACATTTGAAAACAAGCCGACAACAAAATTCCTCATAAGTAAATTAATTTTAAAAAATGATACTGTATACATGAAAAAATGATTACATAAAATAAGGTGTTCTATATGTCATCAAATATCTATAATATTTCTTTATTTTTTTAATTAATGAATTTTCAATTACATTAAATGCTGCTAGCTTCTTTTGTTTAATAATTAGATTTAAAAATATTGTGATTGACTTAAAAAATTTGATTGACTTTGCTTAAAAGTTTAATGTATAAAAAAAATTAAAAAATACCATTTATTTACAGTATAAGGAAAGGGATGGTACAGACATTAAATGATACTGGCGTTGCACCCAACCACATCATTCAGATTAGTGGCCTCAAAAATGTAAACAGTGTCAACAATTACAGCACATTGAATGAAAGTCAACAGAAAGATATTTCAAGGACATTGAGTAAATTACCTCCAAACACCTGCACTAAATCCAGAGATATCTCAGCTCCACACCACGTTTACACCAGTCGTCAGCACACAGAGACTCATATCAGTGACCATGTTCAACAACCGGCTCCCAGGAATCCGTATGACTTTTTAGGTGGTTTTTTCAGTGGAAACCAGATCAGTGGAAATATCAATGTCCATTTCCACACAAGTAACATGTCTAACACATCAAATTCAAATGTTCAGGCCATCATGAACTCTCCACCAGTAAGGAAACGCCGAAGGATACTTCCAATAGACTCTGACTCAGAATAAACTGTCTTTGGAAGATTAGCATCAGTGATCCAATAATGTTGATTAACGTTAATTCCTGTTTTGTTACACATGTTTTGTCTGTTGATCATCTGATGTCACAGATTGTCTCCCTTTGCACAGTTGAAACGTAAATCAGTTATAATTTTAATACACATATTGACAGTCTATAATTTGATGTTCATATGCTGTTAACGTTTTCTCACATTTCAGATGTGTTTCCCCTATTCCTCCTTCCATAATGACATAAATTTGTCCAAATTAATGCGTGTCTGCTAATCAACATGCCTTCTTTCGCAAAATGGCGTCACTAATGATCGAGAAGCGGATGAATTTAAAGCTTTTGAAAACAACCATTTTTAAATTTTCAAATTAATATTAATAGAATAAAAAACTGCTGTTAATCTAAAAGTTATCTAAAATTAATAAATCTTTCTCAAAGGTGAATTATCCCGATCTAGCGGAAGAACTATTTTTAGAGCGTTATAAATAAAAAAAACAGCTACAGTCGTTGTGCGGTTCAGGCAATACACAAAATTAAAGGGGAAGTCTTGTCAATCGTACGGTTGAAAATGAGAAAAAGTATATAATAAACAGAAAATTCAAGTTTTTTCTTTAAATACGTAATTTATTTTCATTGAGTGGTATGAAAATAAATATTTCACGAGTGGCGGTAGCGGTCTATATGTCAGATATCAACTTGAACGACTGAATGCTCTTTTCGTCTAGATTGTAAATATAATAAATATATTTTATTCTGTAAAACTATCAATCTCTGAGGATAATGACAAAAAGTAAAATGCAGATGGTCTTTTTTAAGGGAAAACCTTTATAATCTTACTTCATACATGACACATTAAATCACTGGTCATGCCATTTTACAACATGATTATTGTCGCATCTGATGTAAGTCAAATTATGGCAGGTGTAATTTTGTTTTTAATGATAAAAATCCAATCAGATAAATTCTTAAGACAAGATGTCTCAAGTATTCGGTTGTGTTCAATAAACATTTTTACCGTTCTTATATCATTCGAATTAAACAAGATGTCACGTGGTACAAATGTCGCATGTGTTTGGTAATCAATAGATCTCCTATAATGTTCTCATATCATTCGAATTAAATTTTATTTTTATTTTTTTACATAAATTTTATTCTTTTAAGTTATTATCAATTTGATTACAAACTCATGATTAATGTTGATTTATATATAATTATGAACAGGAAAATGACATTGCCTGTGACCGGTAAATAAATTCTTTCTTTTGGTTCTGATCAATTTTATATTTTGATAATTGTGTTCAAGGTCAATGTTGAATTTTTCTCAAAGAAAATGAGGACCAGTTATCAACAAGAACTTTCTTTTTCTTGACATATTTCTCAAAAAGTAGTCAAAAACTTAGTTTGAATGAAAACGTTAGAACTGTACTATATTAATTTTATTTTATTTCTACAATTTCTTTTTTATACTCTTAAACGAAAGAGTTTTAACATTCTTTTCTTAAAGACATTGAACAAAATACATTAAAAGGAAAATATATTCATGTAACGCTCGATATATATTTCGTTGCAGCAAAGATAGAATGATCGATAAGTTTGTTCAAACAATAATACGTGATGACCGTGACATGTACCTGATGTTTTAAGACGTTCATTTTGTCTTTAACATGATTTCTAAATATGTAGATTCACGTAACCATAAACCCGAGACTAAAATAACTAGAAAAAATCGGAAATGAAATATGATATTGGTCCAATATACATAGCCATAAAAATGAAGTCTCATAAAGTACCGACATTTGAAATTACTAGTGCTTCATTTTGAATACTACAATTATAACAGTTGCTTCAATAGTCGCTTAAAATATAACTCATGCTGTACTAATGTAATATTCATATAATATTATACATATAATATTATACTTACTTGTCACAGAAATAGATGGCGCTTAAATAAATTGAAAAATTATGAAAGTATATATTGTAATAGACATATTTGTATAGATTTCAAGATGACTTTAATAACCAAACGCTAAGGTAAAGTTATGCTAGCCTCTTTAATGCTAGGGAATATAAGGTTTGGATCTTGAGGATAATAAATTTTCATTTTTATCATTTGTCATTGTATTTTAAAGTAAAAGGACTACTTGACGCCTACACAATTTGTAAGCAAGACTAATCTTATCCTTGCATAAATAACCAAAACATTAAATGAAGTACATTTAATTGATTGAAAGAAACATTTTTATACATTTAATCAACTTTTCTTTATAATATTTAAACAAGAAATTAATAAAAAAACGTGAAGAGTAACCCTTCCATTGAAATGAACTTCAGTTGAACTACAAACGTTTAATTTTCGTTGTTTTTGTAGTTTTATTTGTTAGCCTAATTCCAAAATTTGACGTAAGTAATATATTTTTCTTAAAGTCAATGACACCAATTATTTAATGATTCTGTATTGACAAACTTGTATATTGCTTCAAAAGGATAATATAACGTCCTTATTTCATTATATCTTTATAAGGTTTTTACTGCTTATATGAATACTACAAAACTAACTATGTTTCAAGTCACTTTTAATTGTTAGTGTAAACATTCTGTTACGTGATACCTGAAGTAGAAACGTATGGAATCACTAGATGTTAAAACGTCTGAAGCAATATTTGTTATGAAACCATAAATCAAGATTCTTCCATGATAGACCGAGCGAAACAAACGTTTTAGAAATAAAATTTGACATCTTTTTCTCTACTTATGAATATGTCCGGTGTTAATTAGATATTTATTGATATCCTTTGACATTTGATAGCACCTTCTTATTCTCAGGATTTCATCTATGTTTAAGCGGTATAGAGAGAGAATTTTATTCTAGTTGTTCCCTTATAATGTACCGTTTTCTTTGCACCAAAGACATTTCATGCGAAATGGAGATATATTATGTACGACGTTTTAAAATAGAAAAACCTAACTAATTGTAACATTTGAATAATAACGTTCAGAAATAGCATAAGTATTTTGTTCTCATTTTTTTACTTGTATTTAGAAAGAAATAGAAATAAATCACGGTTTTCTAATGTTAACATCTTGATAAAAGAAATTGTGCAGACATTTTTGGTCCCTTAGCTCAGTGTCTAGCCGCTATTTTCACCAGAAGGTCATAAATTAATCTTAAAATTGAACTTCAAATTTGTAAATATATTGCCCGTGGTCTCTTTAATGTCTGGTCAACAAGACTGTAACACCATTGTTATAACAGTGCGGTTGCAGCACAACTAATAACATTCAAATCCCCTGACACACAATTATCTGTCAGAACACTTTAGTTTGTACTTAACGTGCATAAAATTTCAAAGAAATAGGATAGATAGTACATACAATAATAGTTTAGCTTTGCTTAAAATGGCATTTAAAATATCATTCTTCTTAAAATTTTAGACACTGTACTCATTCGGATTTTCACTTTCGATTTAATATTTTCTATAATGACAACAATACAAAAATAAATGTTATAATTACATTACTATTCTGGAAATAATAGATGAAATTTCATAAGAGCTTTGCCATGTAACTAATTTATATACAAATTGCATTTTGTAATTGTGCCTTTTGATTTAATTTGAAAATACAACAATAGAAAATTTGTTAATCATACAAGGTTTTTCTATAATATATATACATATTTCATCATAATTTTAGACATATTCATTGATGTATATTCCAATGATATTTGTAACTTTCATGATAATTGTACATAACATATTGTAATATTTTAGTATGTTAACACAGGAACTTTAATTATAATTGACATAAATTATCCTGAACTGTTAAATGCTCATTTAACTGAACTGATAATCAAATTATCTTTCAAGAGAAGATACTTCTCCTGTAATTCATATTGATCCATTATGCGTAATAAGAAAATAAAACGATTTTCATGCATTTGTTAGAGAAACATCGCAATTAATCTTTTTTCTCTTAAAGTCTGACCGTAATATGACGCTTCATGTCATCTTGCAAATTGGTTAACTGAATGCCTGATACTAGTACTCATAGGTCTTCCCCCCTAACGTTCAATTTGGATCTATTATATTTAAATTGTAAATTTTGAGGAACACAAATTTATAACTACTATGAAACGTTTGATATATAACTATTATTAACAGAGTATAAAGTTACTAATTATATATCATAAATATTGATAATATAACATTAACACAGCGTTAGAACACTGTCCTTAAGATGTACCTAGACTATTTAAAATAACTTTAGAATTGTAATGACCAGGAATATACCACAGAGAATGAGAGTGCTATAGTATATATCATCACTGCACACTTCTGATTCCAAAATAAATAGAGGATATTTGTTTAGTTCAGTGTAAGATCGGAATATATTTCACCGAGTGAGCACCAAAAGGTATATTTCACGAGTGGCGCAGCCACGAGTGAAATATGAACTTTTGGTGTTCACAAGGTGAAATATATTTCGATCTTACACTAAACTAAACAAATTTTCTTTTTATTATATGCAAATAAACGTTTTAAAAAGACATTAAATCTAATACTGAATGAAAAGCGCGCCAAATAATTATACAACGTGACGTCATTTACGACGTCACGTCATTAAGTTGGTACCCAGTACTTTGCACGCTGGTATTTCACTGAAACAAAGTAAGGGGCTTAAATTCAAAACAGTGAAATTATCAAAGTGGTAATTTCACTGTTTCAAACAGTGAAATTACCAGTTTTCTATCACTGATATATTTCTATAAACCACCGAAAAGCATGTAATAAATTCAATTTCATTATTATAACAAAGACATTATAATAAAAACTAGATTATTTTTTATGTGTCCGGTAACGTTAGGTTGTTTTGTTCCGCTCTTTTCTGGCAAGCTTTATGTAAAAATTTTGGGAACGGGAAAACAAAGGGAAACAAAATACACCACATTGCATACCATATCACTTATATAACCGACGTTCCGGAGATGAAAACATTACATTGTTAATTTTTTAACTGATGATATACTGATGAGCGGGCAGAACTGCGTAGGACTACAGA